CATCCCTTGCATATTGAAACAGGATCTACAATGGTTGTTTTTAAACATTTTCAAGGTTTTGATAATTGTTTTTTATAATACATTAACTAAAAGTCTAGAGAATGAATGAGGACTTTATCGGTCTTTCAGCTAGTGATGAGTTGGTGACATATCAAATTTGCAAGGATGACATGATGTCTCCAAACTACAAAAGAAAAAAATTAAAAAAAAAAAAAGACACATAAGGTTCTTACCTAAGGGATGAAGCCAGAGAAGTACATATGGAAGAGAAAAGAATTGCACTGGATACTTGTTGAAAATGGCAAGAAACATAGTAAGATATTTCATGTATTCCATAAATTCACACAAATAAAAAAAATGATAAGACAGACTTTATGCAAACTACCGCAGTAGGGGAGAGAGACACCAGCATAGGTCTGAGCTCTACTCCAGATACGACAGGGACAAGTGAAGATTCAGAACCAACAGGCGGCGTGAAGCCAGTGGGTGGAAAATTATTAACAGAAGATGTTAAGAGTAGGGGGATCTTTATGAAATTGGCCTAACAGTATTCTTGCTAAAGATAGACTACGGCCTAAAATATCACAAGTGGGGGGAGCTGATCACGTGTTAAGGGGGGAAGATTCTTTCCCAAACTGACTTCAGAGGATTCTTTTCTAAAACTGAGTTCAGCAGACCAAGGTCCAGGCCTGGTTGGAGAAACAGCTCAGAGGAGCCCGAATAAAGTTTAATCAAGGAAAGAGTCTTTATCAACAGAGGGATCAGAAGATGAAGGTAGCACACACTAACACATCCTGTGATTGTTAGAACAAATCCGTTTTTGCATGAATGATCTAAACATGTGAACAGGTAAATAAATCCCTTCGGATGAGGGCAAGATAAGGACATTCACTGAGCGAACTTCAGTTTTGAACTGTGTAAAGCTATATTTTAAAACCTTCTACATAATTACAACCCTTGGTTAAAGTTTGTAATTAAATTGATTTTAAATGAGAGCATTTCAGTTCCTTGCTCAAGATTTCTTCCGTTAAATCTGACTTTTAATTTTTTTCCAGTATTGAGATTAAAGGATTTAGTCTAAAGCTCAAGAGTCGATGCTGTTAATAGGATTGTGGCCATCAAATGAGAGATAATTGCTACATTTTACCAACAGCATTTTTTGAGTAGAGAGAAGATAAGAGCAAATCTTATCCTTTAGAATCAGTTAAAAATATTTAACCTCATACTCTGTTTACTCAACATCCTATCAACCAGCTCAGCAGGACCTCCTTTCATTACATCTATCCTGGGAAATTCTTTAAATTATCTTCTCAGATGTGGCTTATCCTACCATCTGTCACCACTGCAGAAAGATTAGAATTAAATTCAAACGCTTATTTGTGCCTAATCATTGGAGGTTAACCAGGAAGAAAGATGAGAATGAACCACCTCAGTAAAAGCTTGTTGAGATCCTATCACTGCCGACCACCATCCTAGGTCCTAAGTGGGCCCTGCTCTTTCAGAACTTACAACCTACAGGGGAGACAGACAAATGTTTTTGACAAGTGCTATAACAAGATATGGCTCAGGATGCTGTTAGAACACAGAAGGAGGGCGTCTCTCTCGTTTGCTGGCTTGGGGTGAGGCCAGGAATATGGTAGTGGGAGAGAGGTAGGAGTGTGTGTGTGTGTGTGAGAGAGAGAGAGGTAGGAGTGTGTGTGTGTGAGAGAGAGAGAGTGTGTGTGTACATGCACGCACGCACACAGCACTGGGGCTATGTCAGAGAGGAGAGTGACCTCCTTGGCAGGGGATGGGAGAGAGAGATACCAGAGGTTATGTATAGGCTGAGACCCAAAGAGTGGAGTAGAAATTATCAAGAAGGGAGAAGAGGGACAAGGAAGAATAATCCCAACTGCAGAGAGCAAACGAGAGGTATAATCAATATAGTATGTTGGATAAGTGCTTCTCCAACTTCAATGGGTACACAAATAACCTGTGTTTAATAAGGAGGTGCAGATTCTGATTCAGTAGTTACAGGGAGGGACCAGTGTTGCTAATGTCCAGCACACTCCCACGTGATACCAGTGCTGCTGGTTCGTGGACCAAACTTTGAGTACCAATATATGTAAACAACTCAGTTTCCAGTAACTAGACACTTCTCTCTCTGGGGAAATAACTGAATAGCCCCTAAGCCCTTTTCACTCTAGATGGTGACCTAGTTATTCACGCTGCATAATCATTGATGATAGCAGCACAGTGGCAACTCAGCATCTCATTTATTTATATATAAAAATTTTTCCACAAAGAAGGCTGCTTTCTATCCCAGAAGGCTAGTTTAAAGCCACTAGCCACTACCTTCTTCCCCGCCTTAATCTAAGTCCTCATCGAAACACATTTAACAGTTTCAGCAAGAAACCAATCTGACAGGGTGTGCTTAATAAATATTGTCAACACTTGTCAAAATCAAGGGAAAATGTCCCAGGGAAGAACTCACAGCCTTACCCATAGGGAGCGAGCTATAAATGTGCGCTGTGTCTTGACAGCAGTTCTTTTAATGTCAATTTGAGCTCATTTTAATAAATGCGTGAGCTTCATGTCACTGCCGTCTCTCCCTCATCCTGTAGTAGCAAATATTCTGCTTCTCAGAGACCACACACAGCATCTTTGCAAATACTCTCAAAATCCCAGCCCCATCCCAAAGGCACGAGAACAGATTGAACCATGTTGAAAAGTCACCTACTGAAAATTCATACCCATGTCACAAGATTTAAAAGATAACCCTGCTCCTTTTTTTGGAGACTAGATGTTAATCATGGTGATAACACCTCCTGTATGATGTGCTTCTGGCGTGAGAAGATGCATTTGTTCTGAGCCTTGGTACAGAGGAGTTGCACCACACTTGTTAAATAATGCTTCGATCTTTGTCTCACTCTGCGACTCTAATTCCCCATTTTATTTTCATAATAAGCAAATACATAGTGTGTATAAACAGGGTTAAATTTATTTAATAATCTATAGAGGCTCAGCATTAGAACAAGTGGGAAGCAATAAAACCTTCAAATTCTTCAAACCTTCAAACCTCAAACCTCTGTTTCCAACTAGGCTATCACAGGAATCTTAGAAGCCAAAGGACTTTCATTACAAAGTTACAGTGTTATGTCTTCCTTCTACTAGACAAGTTGAACTGTTTTTAAATTTGGGGATATGTAAAAAGTACTGTAGTACTCAGAGTCCAGGTCATTATCGACGAAAGTCAGCTTGGCCTGTGGTCTTATCTTCCACATGTAAAGTATTTGAAACCTAACAACAGTAGCTGTTTGGCCTTTGGGTAAAAATTAAATTGTCCTGTGGCCAAGAGGGCATTCGGAGGAACATCTGAACGTGGGTCTGGGGTAAATGGCCCCTTAAAAGGTTACAGACTCCACACAATCAGAATTCTGTAAAAGCAGGGACTGGAAACTCAAGCCCTCGCTGATACGTTGCAAGTGACTTCCAGAGCTATGAGGGAACCACAGACTTCATTCTCAGCATTCATTTATAAATGAAGAGACTGAGACTCAGAAAGGCCAGGTGGCACAGCAGGTGGGGACTGGTGGCCAGGAAACAGAGCTGATTTCCTTCTCTTCCTTGCTTCCTTCTTCTCTCTCTCTCCTGCCCTTCTCCCTTCGTCTCTCTCCTTCCTTCCTTTCTTCTCTCTCTCTGTCTCTTTCTCTCTCTCTCTCTCCTGCCCTTCTCCATTCGTCTCTCTCCTTCCTTCCTTTCTTCTCTCTCTCTCTCTATTTCTCTCTCTCTCTCTCTTTCCCAGTTAAGCAAAGATAACATGAATGTTATCCTTTCATTTAGATTAGGCTCATTCTAATCCTCCAGGTAACAAGTAGTCAGAAAATAATATATGAAAATTTAAAACAGAACAGACTTTACATAAATTATTCTGTGCAAATTTTGCCCGAATCTATGATTTGTTACGTACCTACATCAGTAATCATTTTCCAAAATGTCACTTCTAATAATTAATAATGGAAATACCAACAAACTGCACTAATGCACTATTGAACTTACGGCTAATTGCAATAAAAATTAACCAGTTCCGAGCTTGAAACATGAGAGCTATACGTTGGTTAGAAAAAAAATCAGCATCTTACATTGAAAATTATATTTTCAGAACTATTAGATCATACTCTAAAAATGTACATTAATGCATTATACATACTCTTTGTGGTCAACAACAAAAATCAAACATGTGGACTTCATATATCAATACATCTTTAAATTCCAAATTATTGTATTTCCAAAAGAGAATTATTGAAAAATGCTTAAAAGATTTGGAGGTCTTTCTGTATTTAAATGTGGCTCCATTTTAAATTTCCAATCATATCATAAGAAGCAGGTATGTTAATAATTTTAATTTTACCACTTTTTGAAGATGTAGAAATAATTTTAAAATATTTATATAGCCCTCTCCTCAGTGAAGTCCACCAAGATTTGGCAGAGATAGGAGGAGGGGGATGAGTCTAAAAGGTGGGAGCAGAGACCCGAAGGGACTGTCTTCAGTCACAGTGATGGAAAGGGTTGACCAGCATCCTCTCAAGTGCTCATTTTTGATGGTTCCATCATTCCTCTTCACTTTAAAAAATACAGTAAGTATTTTATTGTGTGTCAGTATTGGCAGAGTTGAAGTAACATGGCAATTGAGAAGGCTTTATTAGCGTGCTGAAACGGCCTGCTTACGGAAGGATGCCAACACAGTTGGAAGTCAGACAAATGACACTGTATCCACTGAGGAACTGTGGAGGGCATCAGGTGGCAGTTTTAAATTCACAATGGGATCCTCTGTAGCGGTTCCACCAATTCCCAAAGTGTATCCAACAAAGAAATGCCAATTTCCACAGCGGGATTTGCAGTGTTTAATGCACTCTGGAAAGGTGATTTTTGATCAACTGTGTCATGACTCATTCATTCATTTCTAAGTGAACGGGCGACTCACTGCAATGTGTTCTCTTTTGTGTTGGGGGCACAAACAGCACCTTGGAGTCGCCACTGATGCATGAAGTTTCAGATCCGCAGCAGGGCAGAGGCCACCGCAGCTCGGGAAGCAGCCTGGGTGGCTCGATCACCGCGTGCAAGAAGGTAACGTTGCTTTCCGCTTCTTATCCCTCCATCTGAACTTGAGCACTAGTCTAGTTTGACCTTTGGAGGACTCTGTCTAAAGTACAAGCAGCAACAAAAACAACAAAGTGTTTCACGTGTTGCCATCCCAAGTAAACCCTGATGAGCCTCAGAATGCAATTAAGGGAAATGATGGGAACTAAAGCAGTTCAGGAAGGTTGGACACGAAAACTGTAAACCTCCATTGCCCTATCACCTCAGCCTCAGCGCGTCCCTCCAAACCCAGCATAGGTAACACCCAGGATCACCTGTCCAAAATTTCTTCCCAGGTTTCGAATGATTCAAATTAATATATTAGGCTCCTAAATCCATATCTAAGAAAACTTTATTGCTGTTCTGTTTCTGATATTTTCCTAAACCAAAGGATATGCTTTGATTATTTTATTAGCAGAAAGAAAATTATATTTCCTAAAATTTAGACTTGAGAGATGATAAATAATCTTCCTTTAAGATACTTGCAAAAAGTTGTCATTTGAACAACATAAAATCTAACTTAATGACTTCCCTGCCAATCTAACAAAAGCCCAGAAACGTAAAGCAGAATACCCTTCTCATCCAAACTTAGAAGAAATCACATTATTTTTCATTTACTGCAAAAACTCGGTATTTCAGAGATGTAAATTAAGACAAATTCCATTACCAAGCACATTGTATATGTGTATGCACGATGTCTGTTATGTAATATTCATTATATACATGCATATAAGCTTAAGATATACATCAATTTGTTGATTACTATACTCAGTTAAGCAGCCCACATAGTCTCTGCTTATGTAACTCTTGTATAACTTCCTAATTTTTGAGTATTAAAGAAACTACCAAACATAATTAATAAGGGCTCTTAGCATGTGTTATATGAGCTATCATTCTTTTACCTTTCACAAAATTCCTACATTCCAGTGCTATACATTCCAGTTTTAATGCAGGAAACTGCAGAACTATAATTCAGAATCATTTTGAGTTCCTTATAAAAGAACTAAAAGTGCAGGTCTCTAAGCCTAAAGTATATTCTATTCAACTTTATGTAACTCCCAATTATTACCAGATGCTGTACCTTTCTCAAGGATAAATGCTTTCTAGTTTATTTTAATTTTAAAAATAAGTATATTTTTATTAATTAGAATTTTTGTGGTACCTAAAAGCAGGATTTGTGGCTCAGCATAGCACAGTGGTCACGGTGCTGACCACATGCACCAAGGCTGGTGGGTTCAAACCCAGCCTGAGCCAGCTAAACAACAATGACCAACTGCAACAAAAAATAGCCAGGTGTTGTGGTGGGCGCCTGTTGTGCCAGCTACCTGGGAGGCTAAGGCAAGAGAATCGCTTGAGCCCAAGAGTTGAGGTTGCTGTGAGCTGTGATGCCATAGCACTCTTCCAAGGGTGACATAGTGGGACTCTGTCTCAAAAAAGATCAATAAATAAAAATAAAATAAAAGCAGGACTTGAAGCCAGACTGCCTGAGCCTGACACCGTTCCCACCATTGCTTGTTATATAATCATCAACAAATGACTTCCCTTCTTCAGGCCTCAATTTCCTCATGTGAAAAATGAGGACAATATATTTTATAGGATTAAAGCAAGGATTCAATGAATTATTACATGTGAATGTTTAGTACCTGGCATATGGTAAGCACTTAGAAAACAGAGATTATCTTTTACTAATGGCGATCTTCAGTATTGCAATATTATCGTTAAGTATATTCTTCCAAAGAAATTCACTATTTATTAAGTTGAGACTTAAGAATTTATGATCTTTTAGGTTGGCGCCTGTGGCTCAAAAGGGTTGGGCACCAGTCCCATATGCCGGAGGTGGCGGGTTCAATCCCAGCCCCGGCCAAAAAACTGCAAAAAAAAAAAAAAAAAAGAATTTATGATCTTTTAGCTGCAGTTATTTCCCTGGAAGAAAAAGGTGGTTACATTTATTTGTTTTTTGAAAATATTGTGTCTGAAAGCCACTAAATTAATAGAGCTGTTTAGTGCTGGAATCCACTCAAAAATTTGAAACTGAAACTTTTTTTCTAAATAACCTTAATTCTGAATAACTCCATCAGCACATACATACATATATGTGTATATATATACATACATATATATATTTGTGCATAGATATATACATGTATGTGTGTGTGTGTATGTAAGTAAACATATGTGTACCACTAAGACTAGGTTTTAAATATGTGTACCACTAAGTTTTAAATATGGTCCCATTCATTCCGTAATTATTTCTAGAACAAGTATTACTAAGTCTTACCATATGAAATTGTCCTTTTTAATGATCAAAAATGATCAAATAAAGGCAATTTCATAGAGTTCAACCTAAACACATTCAGAACTCTATTAGCTCTTTGGGGAGAGAAGCAAAGGTTGTAAGTGGCCCCTACCTGTGTTCCATATGGTTTGGGAAATAATAGTGGTTTCTTGTGTAAAAAGTCAAATGTTGATCACAAGTTAAAACATCCCGTATTGTAACCCCAGATGCACCTGCTTCAGTGCTTCTGTGCCACTGCCCTCCATGGTTCTGTGCTTTTCACAGGGGAAGGTTTGAGGCAACCCTGAGTCGAGCACGTCTATTGGTGCCATTTTTCCCAACAGAATGTGCTTATTTAGCGTCTCTGTGTTACATGTGAGTCATTCTCTCAATATTTCAAATGTTTTCACTATTATTTACCTTACTCTGTGATCAGCGAACTTCGATGTTACTATTGTCAGTATTTGGGGCCATCCACACCGATTGTGTTCTCACTGCTTCACATACTGGCTGGTTCCCCATCTCTCTCCTTCTTGGAGAGCTTCTCTACATTATGAGACAACAATACTGAGATTAGGCCAGTTAATAACCCTACAAAGATCTAAGTGTTCAAGTGAAAGGAAAAATCATACATCTCTCACTTTTAATCAAAAGCTAGAAACGATTGAGCTTACTGAGGAATGTATGACAAAAACCAACACAGACCAAAATCTAGGCCTTTCCCACCAAACAGCTAGTTCGGTTGTGAACGTGAAGAAGTTAAAAGTGCTGCTCCAAACAACAAATAAATGACAAGAAAGTGAGGCAGTCTTATTGTTGATGTGGAGAAAGTTTCCCTGGTCTGGCTAGATCAAACCTGTGACCACGTTTCCTTAAGGCAAAAGCTGATCCACAGTAAGACCCTAGCCCTCTTCAATTTTATGAAGGCTGAGGGAGGTGAGGAAGCTGCAGAAGAAAAGTTTAAAACCAGCAGATGTTGATTCACAGATTGTAGAAAGAGGCTGCCTCTCTAACAAGGC